AAGAAAAAAAGTATATAGACAAATTGATCCTAAATAAATAAATAAATGCTGTAGTTAACATCTAAGGCTTTCCCAATAGCTCCTACTGGGATTTAAAGCACATTAGAAGATAAACAGATTTTATTTTTAATTTGATATAATACAAGGAAATTGTTATAATGCAAGGAAAAACACAGGCTATCTTAAAGTGACAGGACCTTTTAAAATATCGTCATTATTATAAAAGTATGAGTTCTATTGTATCCTTTGAAGAAAAATGAACTTCAGGGAGGGAAAGTGACATTATTTTGCTAATTGTTCTAGTTGTGAGGGTTTTTAATTTTCGTTATGGTAAGGTGTTATTTCTACTCAAGGTTGTATTCTTTGGTCTTTGTTAGTAAATGCTTCAAGGAAGACTGCACTTTGCTTTCATAAAGGAAGATGGTAGCATCCACACATAGCAGGTTGTTACTAAGCTTTGATTCACTTCTGATGCCCCATTCTTCTTTATGTAGTGTATCTTCTCTGTATGCTCAGCATAAAGACTGAGAGGTTACCACCGGGCACACACCTTTCCTGATTTCAAGCCATGCCTTATTCTGTTAGAAAGATTGCCTTGTGGTCTATGCAATAAGCACAATTAAGTGTTCTGGAATTCTCATTTTCATAATGATTATAATCTGTTATGATTCACACAATAGAAAGCATTTGTATTGTCAATAAAATATAAGTAAATAACTTTCTGATATTCTCTCCTCTTAGAAAAGGTCCATCTGACATAAGCAAACTATTCCTCATTGCATGTCCTCTGTTGAGTCCAGCTTGAATTTCTGGCATCTCCCTGTCAATGTCAAAATGTCACTTGTATGTGATATGAATTATATTGTTTGGTTATTTCTGCATTGTGCTAGATCACTTTATTTGGAATGAGCACAAACATTAATCTCTTTTGGTTGGCTCGTCAGGTAACTGTCTTCCAAATACCTGGCATAGATGAATGAGTGCTGCCAACATTGCATATTTGTTTAAACATCTTAGCGGGAATTCTGTCAATTCCTGGAGCCTTGTTTCTTTTACCAATGCCATCAGTGTAGCTTGGACTTCTTCCTTCAATGCCATCGGTTCTTGATAAGGTACTACCTTATGAAACGGTTGAACATCAACTAACAACATCTCTGTGTATTCGTTCCAGCTTCTTTTGATGCTTTCTGTATCCTCA